ACATAGAGTGTAATGTCAATGAAAGCCTTTCCTCTCCAAACCCACTTTGATTGGTGTAAGCTATTTGTACACACATGATATACATGTAATATTATACCGATACCAAGACACGCACCGGGCCGGGCTTTTTATTAATATCATACTATACAATTGTTTGTTTGCTTGTAATAATATCACACTCATGTATTACATGTGTATTATTAATGTTCCCTGACCATGAAAAGGGAAATTTGGAGCGGTGAGGGATTATAATCTCCCTGGTCCACGAGGTATTCACCATCTTTCTCACATCTATTTCTCTCTCTCTCACCCCCTCTCTCTCTATCTCTCTCTCCACCCTCCCCTCTCTGTCCCCGCGTCTCTCAATCTCAATCTAAATCTAACCGTCCGCCTCGAAAACCTCCCCACAGGTCGACAGAAAGGGTGGGAAGACTCTAGTCCACTGCGTGGCGGGCGTGAGCCGGTCAGCCTCTATATGCCTGGCCTACCTGATGAAGTACCAGCGCCTGACCCTGGAGCAGGCCTACCGCCACGTCAAGCGGCGCCGCTCCGTCATCCACCCTAACGTAGGCTTCTGGAGGCAGCTGGTCGACTACGAGAGGCGGCTCTTCGGCCGGAACACCGTCAAGATGGTCCAGTCGTCCATTGGCTGGGTGCCGGACATCTACTACCAGGAGACGAAGCACATGGTTTGGATGCCCCGGAACTCGTCTCGTTTCGGTTACTGACAGAGGCTGTTGATTTACTGGTTATCTAGTTGTTTGTTTCTCTTCATTAATTTATTTTGTATGTTGACGACTGTAAAGCAATAAATTTAAAATATTGTTGTCGTGTGTTGCGCTGAGAATGTTTTGGCATCCAAAAGTTGCCCGTTGATATATTATGTATTGTATATCACATTCTGAGGGTAAAAGAGTGCCCCCGATTGCTTACATGTTTCTGCTCTTCCGGTTTTCTGAACTTTTTGAAAATAACCTTTTCAGGACATATCCCCAATTTATTGGTCCCAGAGAACTACTATTTCCGCATATATTACATCATGGAAGTTTTATCCTGAAAATGTTAATTAACTGTGAGAAGTTGGATTTTTGCCCAGATGTCCAATAAATGTTAGCTGTAGCCTAGTGTCCACATTATGACATAAAAAAACAACAAATGTTCACTTCAGTGTGTACTAATACTGCTCGGGCATAATTTGACCCGAAAAGTGATATGGTCTTCTGAGTTTAAAAACAAGCCTTTTCAAAGAATGGCTCATTACATGTATTTTGGTGAGGCCTCGAAAATTTTTTTTTTCGAAAAAGCTGTCATAAAAAAGGCTATAGTTCTTATAGAACATCACTCCAACTGCCAAGATCAAGAAAAACAAGTAACACAAAGTGCTGTGTTAGAACCAGCCAGAAGTTGGGGTCAGTACATGTAATGTCACTGATGTTGGAGAAAAATCCACAATGATACCACAACTTTGCACTGACTAAATACACGTGTAGTGAGGGATATTCGACAGTTTACAGATCTATTGTATTCATTGTTGGAAAGGAAGCTGTCTTCTATTGCTAAGAAATACAGCTTGCAGGAGAAGTAGAAACTTTATTTTAACACTGACACTTTTGACTAAGTGGTTGTAGTGCTGTCTTTGACCTTACAATGTCTCTGCAATTTTTATAGAAAGTTACACAGGCAAAACTGAATGTCTTGTTGTTACGAAATAGAAATAGCATCAGCATCTGTGATGTAATGGTTGGACTGTGTGCTGTATGCGGAAAAAAGACACAAGTTTAATTTCCTCTCAGGAACAAGTACTTCTGTCTTTCTGCTGACAGGCAACGTCTTACTCAGCCTGCATTGGTTCAAACAGACAAGGATAAAGCAGCCCACCTCCTGAATAATCTAAATTTAGATGATGATGTTTTTAAAAAATGTTAGTTTAGTAAGAGTTTTACGGTGCTCACAAATGCACAAGCCGTAAAATATGTACAATCAAGGAGCTTCCCTTTTGTCAGTCTAATTAGATGGGAGATATGTTGCTCTAATTTTGGACGTATTGTCCTTCATGGTCCCTTATGTATTGTGTCAGTGTTGCGGCAGATATGTCTCTAGATCTCTCATAAATGGTAAGAGGATGTTCCCTCCCACACTCCCTATAGAACTGATATGAACATATGCCATTTGTCAAAATGTGTGAAGAACGCAGTATTGGCAGAAGCATTTTTAAAATCATTAACAAATAAACCACTAGTGACACAATAAGCTGTCTATTGCCATTCATTGTACTTCTTGGACTATGTGCAAAATGGGGAATGTATAGAGTTGACAAATCGACAGGGTAAGAGATCATGGGGAGGGCCAGTGGAACTGGATGAAGAGTCAAAGAGAATGACAATGTAGAGAAAAATGTGAAGACATGGAATAACATAAAAAAGTTAACCCAGGATAGGGAAATGTGGAAAATGTTTTTTCGTGGCCTATACCCTGACCCAGGGTGAGAAAGGCATTGATGATGATGATGATGATGATGATGATGATGATGATGATGATGATGATGATGGTCGAGTTGACAGGAAAACAAGGTTTCAAAAGATTTTGAAGGTTGTGAGGGGTTATGATTATCATACGTTTGCCATAGCTTGTTAACCAATTCCGTTTCGAATTAAGGAATATGCGGTTTCCTTTTTTAGATGCAGCTGTTTTACTATTCAGGGTAAATGCTTGGAGTTGGAGACAGGGGAAATGAATAGAAATGTAGTGTGATTTAAAAAGCTCATTTTAGTCCTGTAGGCAATTATCTGTGGCTGACAAAAAGTGTGCATGTTTGTTGTCTTTTTGTCTTTTACTCAGCATGCACATAAAATCTATTTCATCTCTTTATAAATTTTAAAAAAGGATTCAATCTTCAGTTCACAAAACCAATTCATACAAAGTGCAACATATGATAACATCAAGTCCGTAGCTCTATAAAGTGAAAGAGTGAGAGAAAAAAAGTGACAAAAATAAATGAGAATGCTTGTGGTCAGTCAAGTTTATGCTGTAAATTAATTAAATATTATTAGTGTGATGAATTAATGACATTCATGTAAATTGCAAAACAAAAAAAAGTGTTATGATGCTTTAAATACTTTTAAATCTTTTTGTTGCAAAAAATGAATGACATACTTTAATGTAATATAATACTTTCCATGTGCTATTTCGTTGCAATGAAGTTTGCATTTAAAGCAAAGTTTTCAGAGTACGTCTTTATGGTCTTTATTGTTCTTGGAAAGAATGATGTGACTCTTGGACATGTGGCAAATATCGTCTATTTAAATTCTTCTGCACTTTAATTTATTTTTTACCTTTTTACCATACTCCTCTTGGCATCTGATCTTCAAGGAAACTAACAAAGTATTTCTATATTTTATGCTGATATCTCAATAAAAGCTGATGTGTAGTAAATTAAAAAGAGACAGAGCTTTTCTAGTCAACATTAATTGTGTTACGCACAGTCGTCATCAGTTTAAATGGTTTCAAGCATTTTTACCTCTCTCACACATGTTTCATGTTGATGGAAATGGTTGATATGTTGAAATTCTTGTAGACCTCAATGACCCGAAATTAATATATCTGATAAACAGGTTAAACTGTACTGTGATAATTATCTTATTGTGCTGTGACCTTGCAGAATAGACTGCACTGATTCTATCTGTCTGTAGGGTGTAAGCATAAAGTGCATATATAGTTGATCTGCATTATTGTGATGATAACTTATTAGCCAATATTTTTTTTCTATTTTGTAATTCCTGTCTCAGTGGGGTCATTATCATCAAGAGTTTACTTTAAGGGTATTAGTTTTTTAAGCTTAATTTGTTTACATAGACTGTGCTCTATGTAAGCTATATAGTGATAAAAGTATGTACTACCATGTAACAGTCAGAAATAATTTTCCATGTTGCATACCGTACTCAACCTTTTCGCTCTAGATCTGACACACAGACCCAAATGTTCCTATACTAAGATACCACCACTTTTAACTCAGAATCTTTCTGTTTTCCAGGCAGGCATCAAAAGTATGCGTCTTTTTTATGTATTATGTCTTTTGAACTTATGAATTATAAACATACTTTTTTTCCCATTATCTCCTTTATATTCTGTTTACAAAATATTTATTTTCTAAGGCCTCTTTCTGCATTTTTGAATGACTGTGATAAAATAATAAGATTTTGTTCGATATTTATCTATGATATGTTGATTATTGTTTCATAATATTCATATTATTATGACTGTGGTCTTGTCATTTGTCAGTTCACCTCAATTCTTATCTGTGGTAATGATAGATGTAACATAGTAATCAAGGAATAGACATTGAATATAATCTAAAAACTTCTACAACTGAAATTCTTGGTAGGTACGTTTTTTTATTCAGTGTTTAAGACTGCTGGCCCGCGTCACATAAAGCATACACATTTTACAATGACAAGAGACTTCTACAAAAGCAGGAAATTGTTCTTGAAAAAAACAAACAACCCACAACATATCAATAACATTTTCCATGCGTAATAAAATAGTATAGACTATGATATACTATATTTGATGGGTGAAACATTATAGATTTTTTACAGTAGGTTGAGATTAGAAGGGGGGATTGAACAATTTTCTTGATAGCTTAACTTCTTGATAAGAAGTTAAAGAGATACAGAATGGCTTAACATTCTGCTTTGATCAATGATGGTAATAAGTTAAATAAACTCTTTGATATCTGGAAAAAACTAGACAGCTCTAAACAGATAATGTAGACACCATGTTGCCTTTTATTAGTCATTCAGCGAACTCAGTGTGAAATCTTTATCAAATAAAGTACACCAGCTGTGCTTCCAAAATCTAGTATTATGCATGCAGGGGACAAAATAATGTGCCAGTAAGCATTATTTTCAATGTGATAATGGAGACATCTAAAAAAAAAACCCTAATATGTATACATCATATAATATGAGATTCATAATACATGTAAAATGTAAGATAATGGCAAACTTGCTAATATTCAAAAGTTTCAGGTTTCACATGAACTGCAACCTAAAATGAATCCTTTTAAGGTACTGTTGTGTTGTTTTTAAGACATCAGGGAGGTGTAGACTCCAAAGGAAATTTTGCTACCTTTAAATTACAAAGTTCCATCTGACATTTTGGTCCTTTTGAGTCACATCTGCTCTTTCAAAATCATAAAATTATTGGAGTTATTACCAAGATATTCAAAGAGCTGCATTAAAAAAAAGCTTGACGTGTTGTGACTCAAACTTTTAAAGTCAGATTTCTCAAAACTAGGTAGGCATACTGAGCAGATAGAACTTTGCGATTCTAGGATAGTGATTTATTGTTGCAAAGCATGCATTACTGAAGGCTGAAAACAGAAAAGCAAACCACTGGTTTATTCTTTTACACTTTGTGCGAAGACATGTAGTAAATAAATGAAAATATTTTAGATACATTTATATATATATAAGTATAACAACCCACTTTTGTATTTATCTTCCTGGGAGATTTGTCTTGCCCTTTCATGTACATGTTTGTGCAAAGGCGTACAAATCAAATAATGCGATTCATGTAATGGAGCCAATGTATCAATGCCACGAGATATGAAAAAAGAAACTAACTGGTGTTGAATAAGTGCAGTGCTCTGGTTTGACATAGTGTTTATCCTAGGAAAGACTCCAAAGGCTACCAGTCTAATAGTAATTATCGCTTAAAATTATTATTAGTATCATTTGTGATCTTGAACAACCGACATAACATATGAATTTTCAGTAGATGAAAAGTCGTGTGGGTTTTAGTGTGTTTTTTTGGTGTGAAATCTCAAGTCTTGCAACGACTATTATGTGAACATGATTCTATTTACACATCACAGTTATAGATCTATACAAATTCTTCAATTTTAGTCGAAACTTCATGTTCTTAGATATAAGAGTTACAATATGTCTCAATACAATCTATGCCATGCAAAAGTCATTATCAGTATTGGTTACACTTGATATAAGATGGTGCAGAACTTGACACTTTTCTTTTTTTCTTCTTCTACTTTTCATAAATATTTGAACATGGATGAAAGATTTGTAATAAAATTTGTATAAAATGTATTCCATGTCCTTGATTGCTGTGTTATCACTTTTTTTTTCTTTGTCCTCATGTTTTCTTTTTTTCTTTTAAAACTAAATCTGTTGCATTTGTGCGATTGTTATCGTATTGTTGGGGACAGCTTTTGTTTTTGTTAAAAAAAATTTTTTTTTATACTTGCTGTTGCATTGGGGATTGCACCAAGGACACTTGCACATAGTTGGAACACGACTAGTAGTAGAAAAAGCACACATAGACATCTATGTTCACATGTAGGCTTACTTGTGGTATTAGCTGTTGGTGGTTGGTAGGTACTCATGTGTGGTTTGCTCTTTCTTTCCTATTAAACATCTATCTCCCCATAATATCTCCACCTTTTATTTGTAGGTTACTATCAAGTAAAAGCTCCAATCTTTGGCACTGGACTGATAAGACCGTATTGTGTTGCAAGCGCCGTAAAGCTCTTACTAAAAGTAAAAATATTTATCTGGATAGAATGCCTTCTCCCCCCCCCCTCCCCCACCCCCTTCCACTTTCTCCAACTCATGTGGATAAAAAAGATCCGAACCCACTTCTGTTCTCAAGGTTTGCACCTCCAAAAGAATGAGTTGCAGATAAGAATTTGAATCCTGAACTATTCAACACTAGAGCATTGACCTGAGCACCTGAGCTGCCACTGCATGTTGGCACTGAATATGTTGCTGACTCAACAGTTGTGCAAGAATTCACTGGTATTTGCTGCCCATACATTACCTCTGTAATTACAAGCATTATTTCTTCAAACATGTTCTTATGTATTTCCATAACTGAATCAGGGGCATTTAGTTTTGATTCTAAATTGCCAACAATTTCTTTCAGAATCACAATCTTTTTTGCCTCTTTATCCGCTGAGCTTAAAGTTTGACTGCCGTAAGTTCTCCTAAATTGCGCCTCCATAAGCACTTTGTAAATCAACAGCTGTTCGTCAAACTCTCTCTGAATCAGTTCCTGTTCGGTGTCTGTTGGTCGACAGATCAATCCCTTACTTTGTAAACGAGTGAGGACAGCTGTCTTGTGGAGAGCAAACTCTGAAACAAATGTGGGCGAAAAGAAATCCCCTATTTCCAGCTTAATAATTTCAGTAAAGTAGAAATACATAACTTTCTTTTCATCAAACCCTGACATATGGCAACACCCGTAGAGAAGTGCCTTCAATACTGCACTCTTGAAAACTGGCTTTTTTACCTTCACTAGCTTTGTGGTTCCAAGGGAGACTTTCTTGGCAGTTCCATGAGGATGGGAAATGCAAAATGCAAGATCTATTCGTGAAGGCATCGGGCTATTATCAGAGGAGTAATCTTCATCTTTGCTAAGTCTTTGCATCACTTTGGCTCCCATATGCAAGTTCTCAACTTGGCAAATCAGTTGACAATAGTCTTTTTTCTCATTAACCAGCAACACGCTCACTCCCTTCGCCCTCACAACACTAGAGCGATCATAGTCATCCTCATAGAAAAACTCGACAGTAGTCTTCTCAGCCTCTCGATTATTGAACACCACATGAGCTGCTGTTTGAATGATGAAAGTTGTCCCAACATGAGAACCTCTCCATTGATTCACAGATCCTTTTCTGTCTACATAACCAGAACCCACACGAAAGCCACCCCCACAGCGAAACCGTTTTGGCCTGTCGTTAGAAGTGTAGGAAATAATCAACCGAACTGTGATCACGGCCACATCTTTGATCAACTTCAGGACAGTCGGGCATCTGACAGAAATAGGCAAATGTTCCAGCCGAAGCTCGAGTATGGGTACAAACTGGTTGTGCTCTGACTTTTTTGGACATCTGTTAAATCGTTGAAGAGCCAAACATTCAAACTCCCCATCACAGTCATCTTTATTTGTAGAGGGAAGTATTTCCATTTCACATGACTCACCTGTAAATGAAACAAAATAATGTCTATAATTCTCAAATGTGAGGAACCACAGTGAAAACTGGCGCTCCCCAAAATAATGAAATAGAAGAAAATGGTATTTTCCCAATGCTTTGGTAGTTTTTATCGAATGTTTGTTTTTTGGCTCAACATCTTTTGTGTCAATTTAAAAACAAATTTATGTAAGGATTTAATTGAAAAACGTTGATTAAAAGACACACAAAATTTACATTTTCAGTTTCCAGTTATTCCCAATGTCTAGGCTTAGAACAGAAAAGATAGATGTATGATCCTATTTGTTGGCTTGCAGACACTGGAAATCTTGGGGGGGGGGGGGGGGGGGGGGGGGGGGGGGGTGGGTAATGTTTGTTTGGTTTTCTTTTTTCCTCCTATAAAGCCAAGATAAAGTGAACTTTAAAAAACCCAAAACAATGCACATTTATTTACTTAGCATCATACAGACACTTACAATATTACACTGTAAAGCTCAGGGTGCCAACGTTTTGCAAAGAAAAGGCTGTAAAAAGTACAACTAAGATACAGTCAAAGCTACCCCAATGGCCATCTAAGAAGGCAATCACCTGAACAAACAGCCACTTCCCATTTTCGTCCTTGTACTCTTTTAACATAAGTTTCCCCCTTGTGTTTTTTTTTATATATATATATATTATAAAGACACTGAAAAATATATCCACCTGTCTAATGTGGCTACTTTTCTCCTCGACCACAGGTGGTTATAATATTAAACAATCTCAACTGTAGGCTATATTATGGGTGCATCTGTCATAGCATGATGTTATGAGAGATATTAGTTCATACACCTTGATTTAGAGCTGCTATCTCGGCATGCAGCACACTCATGGGGACGCCAGAGGCTGTAGAGAGAAAACAAAACAGAGACAAAAATAAAGGTTTTGTTTTGAGGAGGTGTGGGGCGAACGATTTTTTTGGGGGGAAGGGGAGAAGTAGGTGGGTTGGGCATAGCAGAAGGTTTCTAAGATAAGTTCCTTCATCAGGGAAGAAAGAAAAAATAAAAAGAACAGGAAGAAAAGATAATTTTCTTAATTTCTTAAAAATTTAACATCTTACAGTGGTGTACAATAGAAAACAGATGATATACAATTGTATTATTTTGATAAACTAAAGCAAGAATATCATCAAGTTCATAAATAACTCACCATTACAGTCGATATTAAAATTTTTATTTTGAATTACACTACTTTGTCTAGCAAACTCATCCAGAAATAACTTATAATTATTCTAAATTCAGATGAGACAAAGGTTGGGTCATTGGCTTTCAAGACTCAAAAGCTATCCAGTCAGTATAACTACATACGGTACTCTTCAGAAAAGATGCATAAGTTTTCCAAAATAAAAGCACTGATAGTATATATAAAAGTGAGTATGTTCTTGGTTCAGACGGATGATAACAAGAAGAAAGAGGATATGACTCCTGTGTCAGTGGCGATACGATTAGGAAAATTCATAGTTGTAGACAAAAGATGTAAGTTCAATTCTCATAAGTAAGATTCTGTTTTATTGAGTATGCCTACATTCGACCTGAAGCACGGATGCTGTTCCCCTTTCATTCCAGGAAGGCGCTGCTGTGACAGGCTGAAAGGCTGAAATTAATAGCTTGCCTTCTCAATATGAGCTAAATAACGTTGATGGGGTTGTAAAACTTTTACACAAGAAACAAGAGCAAGTAAAGAAAGAATTTAACAATTATAAGGCTTGGTCCAAAAGAAAAATTAATAAAAAGATAAAACATATTCAAGCAATCAATTATTTAACTCCTTTTACTTCTTGGAATTATAATTATACAATTTGCTTGCATACGTTTTGTACCCCCCCCCCCCCCCCCTAAAAAAATAAAATTAATGTCGCCATACATTACCTCTACTTTCTGTATTGCCCATATTGTCAGTGCTAAATAAAGCCCCACTTGAAAGGCAGCCTTCTTAGAGCAGGAAATTATTCTTGGACTAAACCAGTCCAGGCCCTGTCCCCCTTTGATTGTTGTGGTTCACATTGCAGCACTGCATCAGTTCCTATCAAAGCTACATCAAACGGTTGCGTTGACTGCACAGCTGTTTCGATAATGGCAAGAATTTCTTTGTAGTAGCAAATCACATCTCCACATTAGGTGATATTCCTGCAAACCATAGAGCAAAGAGTGGATATTCATGCCAAATTATATGCATGCAAGTGCATCGGTAATAAAGGTACAGGATTATAATATGACAAACATTTTATATTACTTTCAAATTTAGTTATATTCTCTTTTTTAATAGTTTACTGTACCGTGTCACGTACTTTATTGGTACCTTGTGATGGTATTATAGACTCTTCTATTGTAACACATATAAAAGATGTGGGTTCAACTCCTGTGGGGAAGCAGTATATATCCAAGTGTGTTGGTAATCTGCTATCCCTCACAATCTTAATCCGGTCAGAGCATTACAGTATAATAATGAAAGACCTAAAGATCTATAAAATTTCACTGGTGCAGTTAAATTGAGCAATCACAGAATGACAGATTAGCCTATATTTTTGGGTCAAAATAAACTTAGCCTCATAATGTATGTTCAAAATCCCAGAAAGCGCTAACTATAGGCCTATCTAACAAGAATATAGGCCAATATGTATTTCGACTAAAAATAGGTCCTAATACAGTGGAGCATGCTTTTAAAACTGGTCACAATTAAATCTAAAATCAGTGGTTAACTGAAAGTAAATAAAATTCCTGCCATGATTTTTTTCTTTACTGTTTGAGCAATATGTCTAACTGAAGAAAAAAAAGACTTTTAACCAAAGAAATCTCGGAAGTCCCTTATATTGATAGTGATTTGTAATTATAACGCAGATACTGAGATGTAATCGGTAGGCCTGTTCTAATCTTAATATACTACTAATAATTCATCTTGGAGTCACTGTTTCGCTTTGGAAATTAACCTTTACCACTCAAAGAGATTATTTTTATAACCTCTTTAATTGCCTTTACTAAACCTCAGCTGATAAGCCTTATATTATGTGAGTTAATTGTGAAATAATCAAAATAATCGTTTTGTTGATGTTTCGGATCCATCATTAGTAGAATATGAAATTGGAATCATGTCATATAATTTTATTTTAGGTTTAGGCAACCACAATCTTACAGTAAAAATTCAAAGCAAAATATTGCACAATAAATACATTACCTAATATAATACATGTTTAATTACAATAGCTCTTATATTAAATACTGCTAGAATCTAGCTATAGGAGGCACATAATAATATCTATTTTTTCTTTCAACCAAAAGCCTTGCATATAAATTCCAGAAACTAAAACTTTAGGCCTACGGGTACAATATCAAACTTCTTACACCGCTTAGAAGTCTTTCCTTTTCTGTTGGAACCCCCCCCCCCCCCCCCCCCATGAAAACAACCCAAGGCAGATACGCAGATTCCTTTGGAAAATAGAATGCTAACCAAGATTTTTATGGAGATATTTCGGATAAACCCGAAGCTTAAAATAGAACTGTCTCTGTTTTGCGGAATAATAACATTGTGATAGGCTAACAGTAATATAGCCTACAATTTCAAGACCAAACTCTTGTTGCTTCTTTCAAACTCTCATTACAAGGAATGAAAAGAACAAACAAGACTAAAATACTAGATCTAGAGATCTATTTTACCTCCAAGGAGATTAAGCTCCTTGTTTACGTCCCATACCCAATGCCATTTCACCGCAATACTCAAGGAGGCAATACTATAATTGATAACCTCCCTTAGCTGAGCTCTTTTGTGTAACCGTAGAAACGTTAGAAAGTTTCAAGATGGCGACTGCATGCAGGAGGTTTTCATCTTGAAACAGTGGCCCGCGCCCAGAAAAACGGTATCGACTTCTTAGATAGAGGGATTTAGGGAAATCATTTAGTGCACTTATTTTCTAATTTTTTAAAAGATCTATTTCATTGTAAATAAGGGTTCAATACAGGCATTTTAAACAAATTTTAATACTAAGATTGTGAATCACCATTTTAGCCTAGATTCTAGATTCCTAGATTATTATTATTAGACCATCTATATTGTGGTTGTTGTTATTGGCACTATTAAAACTGTATCGCCCTTATAATTGATATTACTGTTATTTTTTATTGCCTGAGTGATGATTTTAAGTAATTTCATGTAGCCTACTGGATTCATAGGCCTACATTCAAGTCATTCAATATCGTGTCCTCAGTGTGTCTTACTTTATCTGATTCCGTCCATGATTTTTTCAGGCTCTGGACAGAATTATTATTCCCTGTTCAGTTTTAGACCTGGGGTGCATCTATTTAATGCATTACTGTAAAGCTCTAAGTTACTCTAATATGTATTGTCATATACCAAACTCATGAGAATAAATAGAAGAATATGTTTCTATCAATAACAATGACTTATAATCTGTTTGTATTGCATTTTCCTTCTGACAAAAACGAATGAGAAAAAAAAAATTGCGCAACAGCTCTTAGAAAATTTCGACTTACCGCATTTTCTCAGCTCTACAAGTCCTTATAGTCCATAGGAATCAACACAACATTGTAGCGATATCACCCTAGCACACATTTATGCAAGAATTTCACAAATTTAGTTGAATATCTTTCTTTGAAGAGCCTTTTTATTATACCAGGCCCGTGTTGTTTACCCTTAGATCTAGCCTACATCGCAACAACAAAACAACGATTTTTGCAAGAATTTCGTGGAGTTTCGATCGATATTGGCGCTCAGAGATTGAGGTCAGGTTTGTTTACAAGTTCTACTTCCTTTCGACAACTTAAAAAGTAGGACTATGTTAAAAAGTGCACCTTTGTTTCGGATTTCGTTGAGCCGCTCACAGCGGCCGAATGGAGGCAGCGGAAAAACTCAGAGCCGCTGTCAGCTGTCGAGAGGACGGAATCAGTTAATATATATGTGTGACAGAAACACTGTGTAAAACCTGCAAACTCAAAATGCAGGCCATAATCTATTGTAGTGGTGGCGACAAGTATTTGTTTTATCATGGCACTCGGCCTTCCTCGTCTGACACATTTCGTTTTATTGTCACCCTTGCACAAAATCAACAAAACAAACTTTAAAAAAAAGCAAACAAAAAACAAACCAGTGAAAACAACAACAACAATGCGACTACCTTCATTTGGAACCTCAGAAGTAAATGGTTTGCATCTTTCATTTTGATCCATCCTGCTTAAGAATAAGATGGCCACCATTCTTATATGGCCACTTTTTTCTTGACAATGGGTTGCCATTCTACACAGGTTCCACCTTATGTTCAACAAGGTATATATATCTTAAGTTCTTCTGAAGCTGTGGGCCGTATTTATACAAATTGTTGTATTGTCACAGGCCAAAATTCACTTCAAAAGAGCTCTTTTAAAAGAAATTATGTGCTTAATTTTCTTTTTTTATGACCATGGTTTCCATTTTTTAAAATCCATTTTCTGCACCAACCACCTATGTTGTTTTATTAGACTGGTGTGATTGGGTTCAACTGTCCATTTTATTCCTAGTGAGACCACTTTGAAAAAGTTCTGTTGGAATGCGTTTTAATCTCCACTTCATAAAAGAAATACATGAAATGTAAAATTCCACCTTGCAAGTCTCTTCTCCTTTTCTCAATTGTTGTATTATAATGTTTATCTGACATCTTTACTTCTGTTTCTACAGAGAGATCAACCAACTCTACACTGCGCCCACTTTTGCTGGGTGGGTTAATTTCTTTCTAAAGGATGGCATTCAAGTTCATTTTGAGTCATCATATCAAGACGATTCTTAATGATGCAGAGGATAAGCAAAAGAAAGACATAAAAGATTTTGCAGGTGGACATCTGAATGAGTCTGTTCTTTTGAAAGCTCCAATAGTTTTGAATCGCAAACCATGGGCAAGTGCACATGCAAAAGACGTAAGTCTGAAAGCTGCCTCAAAGCCACAGCATAAGCCTCGAGTCAAGTCGGAGAAGGGAACTCCAAAAGAAGTATTGTTTGACTTCAGCTTAGGAACTGCTGGTGTGATCCCTCCTGTCAAGTCAAAAGTCCCCAAGACCCCAGAAGTGAGATACAGGTAATATCTTATTCCTATGACAAGCAGCCGTCTTCTTACAACAGTCAAACCCTACTGACGGTCACTTGTCCAAGACAGTAGTGGTGGGCGGTACCGGCGAAATCCAGTGTTGGTACTTTCTCGGCACCAGTACCGATACTGAGAGTGACACCAGTAGTTGACGTCACAGACTTCGCGTCTTGCGTCTAACGCCACGATCAGCGCCCGCATCCCCCCCCCCCACACACATCAGTCAGAATTGAAGAGGCGAACTGTGATGCAAAATACCTTTGAAGTTTGCCGCCGCTTGGGATTAAACCCAAGACGGAATCTTGGATTAAACTTTGCAAGCAGAATTTTATAAATATCTATCGCCGCTAAAAATTGATTTCATTTTCGGAATCAGCGTATCAAAATAAGCAAAGTGGCTCTCGTGGAACCTGATTTGAAGCCATATTTTAAATTTAAGCAAACTTCGTTTTTGATTATCAATTTTGAATCTGAAGTCCTGTATCAAGGTCACGCGCTGCGTTGTGCATCTGATGCCCCAGCTGCTAGACCTAAGCCTACACACTGCACACTTCCCGTGGCCCGGTAAGGAAAAAAAAACCCCGTCGCGTCGGCTCCTTCTCAGAGACGGTATTAACCGGTGGTGTCGGCTCCTTCCGAGAGCCGGTACTGGAAGCCAGGTGCCAGTACTGACACCCCCTTCGGTAGAGCCGTGAGTTCCAGTACTGGGTACCGGTACCTGCCCATCCCTACAAGACAGTTTTCTGTACAAACGGTCACTCTCACTCCTCCTGTTGCATTTTTGACAAAAATGTTATAATGACAAGATGTCTACCTGTCTAAGACAACTCATTTTTTTCTTGACAATGAGTTGCCATCTTGGACAATTTTGACTACACTTTAGTTTTCTGTTCTGGATATTTTTCTTATAGTTTGTCATAGTACATTTAATTTTGAAAAAAAGACATGCTTTGATGTTGACATTACAACCTCATATATGGATTCCACCTCCTTTTCCTAGGTTTTCTCATTTGAAATGAAAAAAAATGTGTATCATATTGTGTAGCTTTTGTCGTAAACAATAGAACCACTTCCTTGTTTTTCACCCAAACTGCCACCACAATATTCCTCAGATTAGTTCCTCCAGATGAAAAGGAAGGAGAAGACTCCGAAGATGTGCCCTCCTTCACACCCAAATCTCTGTACTCACAACTTGAAGATGGTGTTCTCATTGAAGAACTGCCTCCTCAAGAGTTGATGATGCCTGTGTCAAGAGGAAGGAGGAGGCCACTGGCAGCTGAGAGCGGAGAAGACAAGTTACCCTTTGTTGGGGACAGCATGTTTACATCGCAGACTTCATTTCTGTCCAGGCGATCAGACATGATATCTCCCCTTCCTTTCAACTACTCCCTGGTTCCCATGCACAGTAAAGGTAATAGAAACCTTTTTCTATACTTTTCATGATTTGCAGGGGGTGTTGGGGTGAGAAATATTTGATTCAATTGTGAGCACTGTTCTCCCCCAATAGATACAATGTTTGTGCTATTGTGGTCTCATGCATGCTACGGCATATGATAATGCTAATGAGGTTATGCGTGCCTCAACAACACTAAATTAACAGCAATTCTGGGAGATTCTAATAAACAAGTTATGTTGGTTTTTTTTCCCACTCTTCTGAAAATATATGTTTACCCACACATACACAGTTTGAATCAGGTATTGATGACATGTAAGTAGTGCCTACATATCCAAGGATTGTAAAGCTAAAGATGTTTTAATTTATGTTGGTACTCAAATGATACTGCTGTGCGTGTCTATGTACATTATCCTATGATATTTTATAGATTTTCATATATATAGCTTTATTATCTTGCTGATTTTTGACATAGTATTCTTACTTATGTAGGTCTCACAAGGAAAGACCAGTATCGCAGGATGAAAGGTTTTGATGCGACGGTGCTGAAGAGGAAAGAACTTACAGAGCAGAAAATTTTGTCTGGTGAGAAGGCTGCGAGGCATCATGAGTTCAAGCTTGAGCAGGTATTAGGATTAGACTTGTGGGAGAGGGAGAGAATAAAAGAGAGAGAGAGAGAGAGAGAGAGAGAGAGAGAGAGAGAGAGAGAGAGAGACACACAGAGACAGAGACAGAGACAGACAGAGAGAGACACAGACACAGACACAGACAGAGACTGAGAAAGAGAGAGAAAATGAGATGGAGAGAAAGGATTTCTATTTGAACCATATAGTGCTCGTGTGTTTTGTATTATTGTAATGCGAATTGAACACCTTCTTAGTAGGAATGTGCTGTACAAGAGAAATTTAATGTATTATTATTATTAATATAAACTCAATTAGGTAAAACTCATTTGTATCTACAGACATTTGAACGCATATATATTGATATTGAAATTATATTCTATGGTAGCTGCTTTTGCAAATGAAGTTGTATTGTAATAGAAAAAGTATGATGTAATATTTGTATAACTAACTATCTGCCGTATTAGACTCCTGTAAACAATTTCACTGTCATCCCATAGTAAAGTACAGTATAACACCGATAGGGCATACACAGAAGACACAAAATCACGCATCCGTCGAACTGTGCCTTTCGATCCCATTTTTTTTTCCCATTCTTTTTCTTTGTAAGATACCCCTCGAACTACAGATCCTTAGGAATACCGAGGCTGGTCCAGACGAATTCAAGCTGTCTCTGTTGTACTGTAATTTGTTTTGTTTTGTCAATTTTATTCTAACTCTCACCTTGCTTTTTCCATTTATTCAGGATCTGGAAGATCTAAATTTAAATGGTATTGGACCAAACTTCCACCGTCTTCAAGTCTTTAGCAATGTCCTGGAAGATGTCATAGATGAGTCTCCAACTTTCAATTACATTCTGCGTTGTGTCAAGGTAATTTTGAATGAAGAAATGTCTAAGCAATTTGACATGCAGCTCACATGGAAATGGGTACTTTTCATCTTGTAACGATAGTCGTGAATGTCTTTTGCAGTTTACATTTAAAGCGAAGTATGTTTAGATGTGCATCTTTTATCCAATTCCATATCAGTTTTTTTTCTATTTTCATCACATTCATTGCTGAAAAAAACAATTTCAGAAGTGTCTGTCTTTCTTTCTCTCCCTCTCATGCTCCCAATCCTCTCCCTCCCCTCTAATTCTTCCCTTTCCCTCCTTCTAATTCTTCCCTCTCCTTTTCTCTCCTCCACCTTCTTCCCTCCCTCTGTTTTTCTCTCTCTCTTTCTCTCTCTCTTTCTGTCCTCTCTCTCTCTCTCTCTCTCTCTCTCTCTCTCTCTCTCTCTCTCTCTCTCTCTCTCTCTCTCTCTCCCCCTCTCTCTCTCTTTCTCTCTGTCTCTCAATTTCTTTCTCCCCCCCCTCTCTCTCTCTCTCTCTCTCTCTCTCTCTCTCTCTCTCTCTCTCTCTCTCTCTCTCTCTCTTTCTCTCTCTCTCTGTTTTTCTTTCCCTTTCTGTTGCACACACAAACCCATAACACACACACACACACACACATACAAACACACATACACACACACTTATAAACATATATATAAATATGAATGAAAAACTGGTATCGGTCATATTTTTGTTTTAGGGTCTGCTAGGGTAAAAACAAAGATTGTAAAAGCAGATAGAGCTTGCTATTGACAGTGGATATAATACGTTGTACAACTGCTACGTATTATTTATTTATTATCTTTGTTTGTGGGTGGTTGGCCGGTGCTCTAGTGTGGATTGTTCCTTTTTTCCTATCAAACATCTATTTACCTTATACTGAGTGCTAATTGTGGCTGGATTGGGCTGATCGTCTGACTCGGCCGTCTGAAACTGAAATGAAAACAAACACATTTTTTTTTAAGGTGACCGACTCTGGCAATTGTCCCGATCCGCCGATCCCATCCGTAGTGGGCACCCCGTATTATCTCTCATTCTTATTTTCTTTTGTATGTTACCTCTAATCTTCAGCACCTATAGGACCAATTGTGCTGCAAATGCTATAAGACACCTCACTAAACTAAAAATAAACCACCTTTTCTCCGATAACACTTCTAATCTTCGGAATCTACATGACCTATTTTTTTTTAACAGTGAATGAAAATGTGTTTGTACGTAAGTATGGGATCAATCATTAGAGTTTCTTTTCTTAATGTGAAGACCTTCTCCATAAAACTCATTATTAAAACTAAAACTGATCTATCTTTATTTCTGTGTTTGAACGAACTGACAACAGACTTACTCATTATTGAAACTAAAATGATCTTTCTTTATTTCTGTGTTTGAACGAACTGACAACAGACTTACTCATTACTGAAACTAAAACTGATCTTTCTTTATTTCTGTGTTTGAACGAACTGACAACAGACTGAGTATGACAACTACATAGCAAAGCTGCTTGACGGACAGACGTCTCAGCAGCACTTGCTCCGAGACCAGGTGGATCAGATGGCTTCCAGAGGCACGTCAAGGCCAGATGATATGGCGGCCGCGATGGAGAAACTGCACTCTTTGGAGGAAGAGGCGAGGCAGATGCTGGACATGAATCAGAAGTAAGTTGTGGATAGCATGCCATACGGCAGAGATTTCCCTTTGATCTCAGCAGTTTTGTTGTTTGTGTGCGTATGTATATGTAGGGCAGTAGTTTATGCGTGTGAAAGGGAAGGTGTGTATGTGTCATGTTGGACATGAATCAGAAGTAAGTTACACGTGTAGTATGCGAAAGGGGTATGCCACATAGTGAATATTTCCCTATGTATTCTGCAGTTTTGCTGTTTGTGGTCAGGTCTACATGTCGGGCAGGAGTTCATGTGTGTGAAAGTGAAGGTGTGTGTTTATTTGTATGTGTGTCTATGTGTGTTTGTGTGTGTGTGTGTGTGTGTGTGTGTGTATGTGTGTGTGTGTGTGTGTGTGTGTGTGTGTGTGTGTGTGTGTGTGTGTGTGTTTATATCTCTTTGTTTGTGTACGTGTGTGTTTGTGAGAGTGTGTGTTAATATCTGTTTGTGTGCATGTGTGTTTGTGAAAGTGTGTGTATGTGTGAGTGTGTGTGTGTGTGTGTAAATGGAAGTGTGTGTGTCTGTAAGTGTGTGTGTCTGTAAGTGTGTGTGTGTATGGTGTTGAACATGAATCAGAAGTAATTTACGTGCGTAATATAGTATGCGAAAGGGACATACAACAGAATAAATATTTCCCTATGTACTCTGCGGTTTTGTTTGTTTGCGTTTGAGTATATGTGTAGGGCAAGAGTTCATGTGTGTGGAAGTAAAAGTGTGTTTCCGTGTATGTGTGTGTCTGTGTGTGTTTTTGTGTGCTTGTGTGTGTACGTGTGTGTATGTGTATACATGTATTTATGTGTGTGAGGAAAGGAGGAAAGGAGAGAGAGAGAAAAAGAGAATGAGAGAGAGAAAGATATGCAAGGGATCATATTTTTTCTGCATATTATATTGCTCTTATGAAAATGTTCATTGGAAAGAAATATAATGCACCCAGTTCCACATTCTGATAGTTCCTGGACAAATGAACTGTTTATATTATTTTATTATTGTTACTACCCCTATACTGATAATAATTACTATTAACATTATTGTTATGTTATTATTACTGTTACAACAATATAATCATCATTTTTGTGTCAATATAATCTGTCCTCGTCGTTTTATGCAAGAACAATTTTGAAATTATGCAAACTGAACCCAAAAATGTGAAATTATGCGATTCTGTTAATTTTAGCAAAGAATGATAAAGGAAAATAATCAGAAATTATGCAAAAAATGATCAAATTTGCTCAATTGTGCGGGGTGCATAAAACCACTGGGACAGTATAATAAAGAAGTATGGTCATATATACAGTTATTGTATTGAGTCTTTTCCTTGTCCATCCCTGCAGGCTGCGGGATGATGTGCATGCTGAGAATGAGCTCTTGACCAAGACTCCGGAGAATCCAGGTGAGTCAGCCATGTTGAGTGCTCTTATCTGTCATTTTTAAAAATCCAACCTGACGTACATTTTACCACCCTGCCCTTTGATTCCCAGAGATCGCTTTATCTACTTTTTTCTGCCTTGCAGACATTGTGGTTTCTGCATTACAAACAATGTCTCTGGTAATACCGATTGGTGTGAAGATTGCTTCCATTTGTGTGTTTATCTGTTGCTTTTGAATAAACCGTGAAATTTTTGTATTGATTAGTGCATTTGTATGAATATGAGTTTGTATGTAGAATCATTACCAGTGATGTTATAACAGTGAATAAAAATGTGTATGTGTGTAAAGACTGGATCATTCGAGATATCATTTTCATAGGAGCTTATAGTTTTTGTCACGTAGATGTCAACATGCATTTTAACCCTTTATCTTGACTGCAAAAGATGAGAAAATCTCTCATTGTGAAGACTTTCTTCTTCTAGCATTAAAAATATCAAAATTGTGATTCATCCAGTTCTATATGACCACTTGTTCAAAACAACCATCTGTTTTAATTATAACACTTTCTGTCTTTCATTTTTTTCCCTTCTTATTATGATGACACTGTACAAAAGGACTGCCAGTCTAAGATAATCATTAATTTTTTCTCTTTGACAATAGATGGTTGTCTTGGATATGTTCCTCTGTATGTTATCTGTCTGCCAGGATTGAACGTCCCACTCAGTTCAGCCTGTATTGGCCCTGTCATGTCAGGCAGGGTCAGAGATTTCTGCTTTGAGAATGGTCTAAATTGTGCCCAAGGGAGAGTAAATCATTTGTCACGAATCTGCCAATAAAGATGCATTGGTCTCCCTTATAAGCTTTTATGACATTCTGACTTGCATCTGACAGGTTTTTTTTTCCTTTGTGAATGTGTCAGAAGAACTATATTATATCTATGGCATCTTTTTGATAGAGGATCTTATAGCAGTATAATAATATGAATGATACAACTTTGCCTTGATTCTAGACCTAGAAGAAGTAGAGAGCCCAAGCATTACTCTGCACCTCTCAGATCTTGATTTCCTTGATTTGCTCCAAAAGACAGACATGATCAATATGTTTGGAATCAAGGAAGGTGTAAGGATGTACTTTGTTATTCTATATGTAGTGATAGGGACATTATTTATGATAGGGAATTTTTTAATTTTTAGATTAGCCAGGATGGCAGCTTAACAGCGTTCTCTTCTATGATTTTCAACCAAGGAATCTTTAATGTGTGCAGTTTGTGTAGGACCTCGCCAAGATTTTTTCATCCTTATCCGAGAAGAGTAGGTGCTTGATCCTATTCAATTTACGTTCAGGGGTTTTGAGGAAGAAGATTGTGGGAGTGAGTGAGAATTGGGTTTTTTTGGGTGGATTGTTTTTGTTCTCGTGGATTTTTGTTGTTGTTGATAATCTGAGAAAAAGACAAGTTTAAACCACATAGAGGAAAGGAAGAGGAAGCTGAAGAAGAAGAGAAACTTGGAGTCTTTGGCATGAGAGGGGAGCAACTGTAGGCCTACCTCTACATCAAATTTCCCCCCATGTATTACATAGTTACCTTTTATTAAAATTGATATTTCTACTCATACTCTTACCTTCTACATTTGTTTTCTGTCACAATCTAAGGATTTATTTTCCCCTCTGTAACTAAGATCACAGTAATTCATTTTCCTTTTCCATATGGAAAAATCTGTCTGCAGCCAACAGAATACCATCTTTCAAAGGTTTGTTTGTCCTGCCCACTAGTCACTATTTTGCATGGTTTGCTTCCATCTTTATTTTTAAAATTCAGATAGCAAATTTTCGAAACAGCACTTTAGTTAGAAGTAGCGAAGGCTTTGGTTTCCACAGGAATAGCTGACATCAGTTAGCTAGAGCTAGACTATAGTATGATTTCTCTATTTGTTTAAGTTTTGTATGACATGCTTATAATACTTTCCCCGTATAGACTTAATGCCCATCGAAATAGGATTTCAGTCTGTACACTTTTTGTAAATTGTGTAGGCTACTTGATGATGGGCTTGCTTTATTTTCCGGTCCTGAGAAAACTTTCAGGAACTCAGCTTTTCCATAACATGTTTTAGTCCCTGAGTCATGCATAATGTTATATCATGATAAAGTTTACTTTTTCTTGCCTAGACCTGTTTTAGAAAGTCCTCTTCCATTACGCTTTTTCCATTTTTAAAATTGTGTTGCTTTGATCATTAATTTTGCACCTTTACGACACATTTTAGCACAGTAGTTTCTCTTTTTTTTATTTTCACATTTCACATTTTGACATTGGAATACATTGAATTGTGCCAGCTCATTCTGTATAATTATTTATTTGATTTATTTATCTATTTATTTATCTATTTATTTATCTATTTATTTATCTATTTATTTATTCAGGCTATTCATACCCTACAGCCAATTAGGGCTAGTATTGTTTAGCCATAGTAATCTGTCTGTCTCTCTCTCTCTTTCCCATGTCCATCTTTTAGGATCAAAAGGAAGACACACATCTTTGAATTGATCAACTTGTTTCCAGATTCATGTTAAACACATCAAAATGCAACAGCTGCAAGCCTTTTATTTCTCATTGTCCTTTTATGATGTATTATAGTTCAGTAGGTAGAACCATATAATGCCATAGCTGTCTATCCATATGAAAATCAAAGATTTCCTTTAGGTGATACGACCTTTTTTTTTTAAAGATTTAAAAATGTGCCTTTGAAATATGCAACGGGTACCTAAAAAAGCAATGGTCTCTTTTTGAAATGGCTGATTTGGATATAGTTGAAAAATTAGACATGTATTAGAAAAGAGAGTAGTTTATTTCCTTCTTATTATGTGCATGATATAGCGCTATTTTAGTCTCAAACACAGCAGCAATGTATTATGGATCCTGAAAATAAACCCCCAAAAGTAGGAGGATAGTAGAAAAGGTGTGAGCTCACTGAAGAAGAGAACCAGAGAAAAATATAATAATGTCCTGTTATGTTACAAGAGGTTTAGTCTGTACCGTTCCATTCATGAGATGAAAAGCTGCATGTTTTCTTTCAGCATGTTTCTATGTTGAGAATTTGTTAATGATAGTTTTATGATAATAATAATGTTTTTTATGTCTTTGAAGAAAGCTTAACAATATAATATTGTTTCAGTTCACAATTTTTTTGTTTTTGGAGGTTTTTCAACTCTAATCACAGGCTTTCCTTTATTGAAATGATAATTTTGTGAACAACCGAAATAGTAATATTGTGTGATATTTCTTCGACTCACTTTGACACCAAACTGTTGTAGTTTTATTTTCTTTTAAGATGCACTTTGAGCGCACTACAGCACACCTCTCACTTCATTAGAAGTGTTGTATTGTTTACGGGCTTCGTTCTGTAGACTGGAAGTGATCTGTGTTAACCATTAATTTAAAAAAAAAAATCAGAATGGTAAATAATGAATAAAATGGTAATTTTTTAAATTTGAAAAAGCCTTAATACATGTAGACATAACTCTTGAAGTGTGTTAATATCAGTTTAAATAGTTTAATTCTCTATTGCTGTAGACATAAAAAATTTCCAAATGAGTAGCAGTGAGATATTGTTGGTATTCACTGGAATGTCCACAACAGGATATCAATACCCTTTGTCTTTTGTTATCTGTTTTGTTTTATCTCTTCACAGATATGCTCTAGCATACTCTCTCTAACCTGTTTGTCCGCATGCTTTACTTGTGGACCCTCCCACACACATACAGGCGTGGGCACTCACACACACATACGCACACACACACACACACGCACACGCTCATCCACACACACGTACACACACACACACACACACACACACACACACACACTCACGCTCATCCACACACACATAAACACACACTCATACACACACACACACGCACACACACACACACACACACGCACACACACACACACACGCACGCACACACACACGCATGTACACACATGTCTCTTGTGCAGTTTAACTACACCCAGCACAAACACAAAAATCCTTGATTCATTCAGTCCATTTACCTACTCTTCCTTTTTTCACTCCTTTCTGTCTTTTTCTTTTCCTCATCCCTTTTCTTCTCTTTTGTCTTTATTTCTTTACAGGGGTGTCTCCCTCATTAAAAAAAAATATTCGGTCATAATTGTGTTAGCCTATAATGGGTGGTTGGAGGGTGCTCTGGTGTAGTTTGCTTCTTCTTTCCTATCAAACGTCTATCGTCCTTATCTCCCTGTCTTCTATTTTATGCATTTACTCTCTTGTAATACCTCTAATCTTCTGGCGCTCGTATGGCCTTATGCAGTTGCAAGCGCCATAAAACCTCTAAAAAAAAAAACCCACTCACATATTATAATGAAATATTATGTTATAGCAATAAACTTGAAGACCTTGTGCTTATTATATTGCACGGCAACAATAAAATCAAGCTTTATTATATTTTTTTCAGTTGAGGTTTAAAAAAATTAGATTTCCATTAGTATTGTATGAACACTGTTATTTACACGGGATGCAAAAATGAAGTTTCTTTCTTTCTTTTTTTTTTCCTGTTTTAAAAAAATATATTTTTCCTTCTTATATGCTGAGTGTATAAATTCTATTGACGTATGAAACAACTTATCCTCCCAAGCTGTGCTTGATTAGTTAAACATAATAACATTACGTGATTGTATCATTTTTTCTTTTTTTTGTTGTTGTTGTGTTGTGTAATGCTACAGCCAGGAAAACACCACCTGCAGGAGGCTACTCTCGAAAAGAACAGCCAGTTGAGTTGTCCTTGGAGTTAGAAAACATGAAGGTAAGCTCAGTTTCACTTTACTGGTCTCATGTCAGTTTCAAAATTGAATAGTCTAATAACTAATTATTGAACTCAATTTTTTAAAACTTTTTCAAACTCTTTCTCTTAGTTGTCACGCAGAAGTAAAATAATATATTATTAAGTGTCGTTTTATATTATTATCATGCCGGTATCGTCCTGTTACCTCAGTTTAATGTGAAAGCGTACATTTTTGATTATGTATTGTGTACAGAAATAACACTTCATCATAAACTTGTCATACATCTTAAGTGCTTATTTTGTATTACTCATTTTAACCAAAGTGCTAAGGTGTCTGCTTCTTCATGGATGAAATTAATTGCAATGTATAGCTATTACCTAAAATAGTTGCGTTGTAACACTGGAGTATGAGACCCTTAAAGTCAACATTTCCAAAAAGAATCGTGTTTCTTCGTATGATAATCAATGTGAACAAAGTACAGGATTGATTTTTAAAGTTATATTGACATGTATATCTGAGAAAAAAAGAATCTGTTTTCAAGTCTTCATATTGTGTGTAAAGCATTTTGTAAAATCATGTCAATGCTACGGTGTTCCAGTGTGTGCATGGCGGATGCTCTGGTGTGGTTTGCTTCTGCTTTACTTTCAAACATTATGTTGTCGTTATGTCTTCTCCTTCTTTTCTTTGTTAAGTTACTTTCAGTAGCAACACCTCTAATCTTTGGCACTTAAGTGACCTATTTGCGTTGCATGTGCCATGAAACTCTTTACTCAAATTCCATTACGTTACTTATTTACTCAGCTTCACTTTCGTTTTTACCCCCCCGGGGCAGTGCCACTGACGGAAGTGTCTTTAGGCCATTCCCAAAGGGGGGACATTTCTCGTTCTAGTACACAGTAGAATTGTAAATGGGCTGATCCATGTCATGCTCATAACTGTGCCTGATCTACAACAGCGAACTGCTGCTTTTTCTTTCCTAATCCTTGCTATTGTCATTTTCCCTCTACTTCTTTTGTTTGTTTGTCACACTCTTGTGAACTGCTATTTCTGGGGTGCCTTGATAGTCGAAGCAGACTTTGTGCTGTTAAAGCTAGAGAGGTGAGCAGAGTAGGCCTAAGTCTGATTCCCTGTAAGGACTTCTCTGCTGACATCCATCCCTTGGCGCTCATATGACCTTATACAGTTGCGAGCGCTGTAAAACCTCTACTAAAGCTATAAAAACTTACATTTTGGTGTTCCTAATGTAACTTTCTGTTGTCTTCAGGCTTTGATTCTGGAAAAGATGGATGAGCTGACGGCCATGAGGGTTCAGCTGAGGGATGAGTTTGTTCCCATGACGGTCTGCACCCACTTGGAACAATGTATTAAAGAAACAGAGGTAACACTCTTATCAACACCATTAGGTTATTTAAGAGATGGGACCTTCGAGTTTAACGTCCATCTCCGAAAGGACTGAGCCAAATGGCACCTACAGCATCAGACAAAGCTGAGGTACGAAGCCCCATTAAACAATGCTTTATGCAAAAATATTGAAAACCATAATACTAATGATGGTTGTTGTTGTACAGATTTAACATTCATTTCAACACTTTATGGTTATTTAAATGGGACCTCTAAATTTAACGTCCATTTCTGATAGGACCAAGCCAGATGAATGGAGAGCCTTGCAAACGTCCCAAAACAACCCAAGTTTAAGAACACCCCATTGGGGTTTTGAATTAAGGCCATCTGCTCTGAAGTCCAGTGTGATATCAACTGAGCTAACAGACCACCTATATTGATTATAATAATGATGTAATGATAATTTCCTATTTGAAAAAAACGCCTGGTTTTTCTCAGCATTTTGACATTTCCCTGGCTGACCTGTGAAACGTTCTCATCTTCCTTGGAAGCATTATAAGTACAAGCCACAGTTTTGCTGAAAAAGGGGAGGGGGGGGGGTGGTGAGTGAACCCTTATTTTGTATTTTCTGACCTTATCAGAAAGACTGGAAATTTGATGAGATGTTCATATTACTTTATTGATTCTTCTGCATGCTTTACTGAATGCCATTGTAAATAAAGGCTATTGTACAAAGTATGAAGGTATGAATGTATTTTCTTTTCAAGGTGGAGGTACAGAAATTGCTGAAACAAAATGAGTACTTTGAGAGAAGCATTGCTGAAATGGATGCTGATCTGAAAGAAGCTATCATAGAGGCAGACACCAGTGAAAAGGATGCAAGGTATGTTTTTCTTTTTACTCCTTGTTCTGGTAGTACCTTAAAACTTACATAGAATTAGAACTTGTATCTGTGGTGTTGCGGTTAGGCACTAATATTGCCACACACAGAAGACCTGAGTTCGATTCCTGAGTGGGGAGAACTACTTATTGAGTATCTCTGTCTTTTTGCTGGATGTTGTGTCCCTCAGTCAGGGTTTAGGCCCGACAGGCAGGGTTGAAATCCCCTACTCTTAAATCATCAAAATTGTGTTGATGAAAATTTTTTTTAAAAACAACGCTTCTCTGCAGAACAGATAGAAAATTATTATTCTGTATCTGACAAACAGGTTAGGTTGCTTTGTTCCTTTCTTTGTGTTATTGCTCACAGTTCTTAACCTCAAAGGGAAAAAAGAAAAACAAGTTACGACTTTAACTCTTTATCGCCAGCAAGCCGCTCCCAGTGGCTCGCGGTCGGAATCCTTGTGTCGGTGCCAGCGGCTCTGGCGCATTTTTTTACTACGGCTATGACATCAAATTACTCATCAGCAGTTGCCGAAAACAAGTCTGTTTTAGCTGGAGATCATTCTTTAGATGAAGAGCTATTGAAATAAGTTCACTTGTTTTGATTTAATCACCATTTTAGTGACATATATGTCAATTTTAGATTTTGTACTAAAATAGGGCCCCGGCATAATGGGTTTACCCCCCATGGAGATAAAGAGTTAAAAACTGATGAGATGTTTCTTGACGACCAAGGAATCCATTTTTTTCTCACTATGGTTCAGAACTTGGGGAGAGGATTAGTCGTCTATGTGGTTCATCACAGTGAAAATAAATGGAATGCACAGGCACACTTGTGTATCATGATACTTACAATACTATCAAATGTGTAGGTTTCACACATATTGTTTTATTTACAATCTCCTCAAGTATTTGTTGTAACTTTTCATAACCTGAAGATGTTCCTGGGTGTCAGAGTTTAAGCTGTTAGAATGTTTTTTTTATTGTGAAGTGCCCAGAGCCACCAGGGAGTGGGCACCATAAAGAAGGGATCTCATTATTGCTGAATCTACTTTTTCTGCCACCGGTCCAGGACATTCTTTTGTGTAAACAACTACTTCTCATCCTTGTCCTTTTTATGGTGCTGCACAAGACATCCACCTGGGGCTTTCATGATCTAGAGGTTACAGTGTTCGCTTTTCATTCAATAAATTCCTGGTTCGAATCAGGATAGTGACAGAAAAGTTTCTTCTTTAAATTTTTCTTCATTCACTTCCTTTCCTGCCCTCTAACCATGTTGTGTCATCTGCTTTCATCTCCATTTTTTGCCCCCACTCCCTCACCTCCTCTTGGCTCCTGATTCTATCTGCAGCCTTTCTGTTGCTACTCCTTAGCTGCTTCTAAGTGCATTCTTTCAGCCACACCCCTGATATTATGGTAGGTAAAATCTACACCCGGACAAGGGCGAAAAATCTCGGAGGTCCCATGTGCAAGTTGCATGTTAAAGATCCCTTGGTGGTCCAAAATCAATATATAAGAGTAGGCTTCGGCAGCCACTTGGGAAAAATTCAAAATTTCCTACCAACTGAAGATGCTTAATGTGTCCCGGCGCTCATATGACCTTATACAGTTGCGAGCGCTGTAAAACACTTACACCCTACCCAAAAAAAAGACATCCTATTGTCCAAAACAACCACCTTTCTCCTCTGGAAAAGATGAATCAGCTGACGGTCATAAAGGTTCAGCTGAGAAATGGTTCAGCCTTCATAAAGCATGGCAATTCTGGACAATTTTGACTCTATTATTATTACATGTATTTCATCTTAAACTCTTATTGAAATATTATTGTGCTTCTCATTCACATTTGTCACTACCATTTTGCTCTTCAGGAGAATATGGTACAAAGTGAACTCTACCAAAGGTATGCCAGGACAGAGGCAAGGAACCGGCACCGAGAGTGATGAGGATGATGATGACGAGAGTAAATGGAACTGGTACATCTCTTAGACACTGCAAAGTAAAAAAAAGGGGAATTTGTGCATTTCTTTGACTCTGTGGATTAAAGAAAGGTGAATTTGTACAATGACTCTACATATTAAAGAAAGGGGAATTGGGATGTTTTTTAGACTCTGTGGAGGCAAGAGAATGGAACTGGAACAAGTATCTCTTCATCATCATCCGGTGCCTTGCCGACTTGCGTGGGCGATCATGGACCTCTTAGACTCCTTCAAATGCATGAAAGCGGGATTGGTAGATTTCTTAACACTTTGCCATCACATCTTGGCGATCGTCAATGTTTACCACCCAGTTTCTTTGGATTTTCCCCAAAATGCCTTTGCCTTTGATGGCAAGTGATGGTGTTAAACTCTATTGACAAAAGTAGACATTTTACTTCTCCCATCGAATGGGATGTTTGTTCTCATACTTTTTCTACTGGAGCTGCTAGAGGGTTAACTTAGTCAGCCCACAGGGCCGCTCACTGCGGCTTACTGTCTCCTGTGTTTGCCTTACTTCAGATCATTTTCCTCTCTTCTTTTGTCCTTACCACTTGCTTTTCAACTCTTTTTTCTGGTGTCATTAAATAGTATCTTTTATGCTGAACATTTCTATATGCCTCACACAGGGTTTTATAACATTTTGATATTTCTTTATTAACTATTTGTGAAACCACTCGTGAGGTCACACGAAGCGGTCACAAATATTTGTGTCTGGAGTCAAAATTATCTGTGGGCAGAATCAGTTAAAGGAAACTGGCTAGATTTCTAGGATTTGCTGCCAGTCTGCCACAACAAAACTTGATTAGCACAAAATCAATTTTTTTTAGAATGTTTTTGGGGGCAACGTTAAATTTTCCTTTAGAGATAGCAGCATAGATCTTTGGGTAATAAGTTCCGTACTAAAGATCAGAACAGTTGATATTTTGTGTTCTTTACTTTGAAAATAATTATGGTAATATTTGTGTTGTTTACACTGCTCTTGAAGTAAATCCTTTTGACCAAAGCTGTGATGGACTGCTGGTTTCAATGTATACACTTTGACTAGTACTGCTGCTAGTTCATAGGCCTACGTATTAGCTTTGGATCAATATTGTTCGGGAGGTCATATTACATAAATTTCAAAGTCTATTCAAACCAGGGGTTCCATTTGATAAAAGTACGGGTGAGCATTAGGTATTATATTTTTGGTAAGATACTTGTGAAGGCTTTAATTGTAGAATAAGTGTTATTTTTGTTTGATGATTTTAACGTTCTACAAGATACACTTGTATAATTTTTATGGTAGAACTACCCAGTTATTCTGCCCTAAGCTGACAAAATGTCTTTTTAAAATGAATTCACTGTAGTTTTGAGATAAAGAGGCTTTTTGTCTGCACGGCCATTTAAAAAGTCGCTCTTCCAGAATTCTAATTCAATCAATAACTTGTCACAGTTTTACTTTGATTTTTTTCCACACAAGCAGAGAAACTGATCAGGCTTTTGATTTTGCAAATAAGAATATTATTATTGCGACAAAAATGAAAAAAAGGGGCATTTTGTCAGCTTTTGGCTGTATTGGTTAGAGTAATGAAGGAAGAAATATGGGATGAAGACAGATAATATGCAATAGTAAATTTGCGTATCTGAGCAAAGATGTTCTTGTATGCGCTTTTCCTCATTATAGAGATTTCAATTCCTATATTTGTGTTTTAGTTCCTGTCAGTTTCGCTTAAAACTTTGAAAGGGGAATATGATGCAAAGATTTACCAAGAATCAACTAGTTTTTGTGAATCTGTTGGAATTTTTTTGTGAACGTGTTTATTGTTAATGTTGAAGGCTTTTGTAAATGAGTTCTTCACCTTGTTGATAAGATGTAATACTAATTAATGTTGACATTGTCTTAAAGTGGATGATCATGTTTTTGTGAAACTGCTGATTACCGTTGATTCATGACAAGATTACTTAGGTACTGTTGTGTTTGAATGAGATGGGTATTTTTAAAATGAATGTGTCACGCAAATGTGTTTGTGTGAGTGTGTGACTCTTCGTGTGCGTGAGCACACTCTTGTAGTGTTGTGTTAGGGCTATGTGTTTAGCTTTTGCCTTAATAAAGAGAATAATTTACTGTGAAAGCCGCTTGTTTGAGTATTGAAGTTCTGATTGATAAGAAGATGAATTTCCAAAACGTGTTTTCTAAGAAATGACAGTATGTGAAATAAGATGTTACTCTGGCCCGAAACACTTTAGTAACTCGGTTTGACCCAGCTTTATAGGGTTACTAAGTACCGTCAAACTCGGATATAAAAAGACAGACGGGACTGGCCGTTATTCATTGATATAAGCAAGTCCTGTTATAACCGTTACCAAAGGAAACTACCTGTACCATTACACCTTCAGCTTACTATAATATGTGAGGCATCGAGGTGGAATCAGGCTCTCGTAAAAAAAATCAAAGTGAAGACACTTGCATTTTTCCGCAGGTTTGTGAATTTTTATCAAATTTTTGTTTTTGGGCTCAACACCTTTCACGCCCATTAAAGAACTCATTTCTGTGTGGATTTTTCTGAAACAACGGTGATTAAAGGCACAGAAGATGTAAACTTTCATTTACTATGGACTCTTAAGCTAAGGAAATAAGTAATTTTTGGCGGCCATTTTCTCACTAATTTTACCTCTGAAAACAGGTAACCCCCACCTCCCTCATTCTCAAATATCTCGACATGTATTTAAGATAAACGGATATTTTTTTCATCCAAATAAAAACAAGTGAACAAGCTTTAAGATGATACCAATAACTCTATGTGCCCAAAAATTGACGAGAACCTGATTCCACCACGCTGTCTCGCATATAATATATTTGATCACAGCAGATCCTTTTCAGTGGGCTGTTTTGCTGACACTGAGGCAGAATTGATCAATGACCCCACAAACACTATGGAAAGGGGGGGGGGGGTATGTGTTGAAAGTTTGTGTTTAGGCAAACGATCATACAAATAGGCGAAATGTCTTGGTTGAGACAATTTTGAATTATTTGACAGATAGATCTACACAGAAAAATTAAAGAGGTGTGCCATACAAGAACACGTGGATCAACAGGATGCCTCAAATCAAAGGATGGGAATATCATAATGGACAACGACAAGATACTAGAACGTTGGACAGAATATATCGGTGACCTGTACAATGACAAAAGAGATGAACAAAGAAGAGTGGAAAATAACAACGAGGGACCACCAATCATAAAAGAAGAAGTTATCAAGGCACTAAGAAAGATGAAGAATGGGAAAGCTGCAGGACCGGACAACATTACCACAGAGATGATTAGAGCTTTAGAAGACTTTGGAATCACCACGCTGACAAAACTTCTTAACAACATATATGCCACTGGACATATTCCATCAGACTTGTCAAAATCTATCTTCATAGCTTTACCGAAGAAACCTAATGCAAACGAATGTGAAAGGCATCGTACCATCAGCCTCATGAGCCACATAACAAAATTATTACTCAGAATTATTATGATGAGAATACGAAATAAAATTCTCCCAGAAATAGCCCAAGAACAGTGTGGATTTATTGAAGGCAAAGGCACTGCAAATGCCATATATGTCATCAGAACAACAATAGAACGTGCCCTAGAAGTTCAGAAAGATCTTCATTTATGTTTTATAGACTACACCAAGGCATTCGACAAAGTCAGGCACGACAAGATCACCGACATGCCAGAAATTCTTAATATCGACGAAAAAGACTTAAGGATTATCAAAAACAAGTACTGGGATCAAACTGCTGCAATGAGAATAGAAAACGACATCAGCGAATACATACAGATTAAAAGAGGAGTCAGACAAGGATGTGTACTTTCTCCAGACTTGTTCTCCCTGTATAGTGAAAATATCATGAGACACATAGAAGAAATGCCTGGTATCTCGATAGGGGGACATGATATAAACAATCTAAGATATGCAGATGACACAGTCCTAATAGCAGAAGATGAAGAACATCTGCAGAATCTATTAAATGTCATCGTACAAGAGAGTGACAACATGGGCTAAAACCTAAACATCAAGAAAACCGAAACGATGGTGATAAGCAGAAAAACTCCAATCCCAACATGCAATATCAAAATCAATGATACCACCCTCAAGCAAGTACAACATTTTAAATATTTGGGGACCATTATATCATCAGATGGTAGATATCACACCGAAATTAAAAGCCGCATTTGCCAAGCAAAAGCAATCTTCCACAAGATGAAACAGATACTAACAAACATCAATCTGTCACTGGAAACGAGGAAAAGAGTACTGAAAAGTTACATCGAGCCAATCCTATTATACGGGTGCGAAGCGTGGACAATCAATAAACTGCTGGAAAGAACAATTGTAGCGACAGAGTTGTGGTTCATAAGACGCATGCTACGTATCCCATGGACAGCTAGAAAAATAAATGAAGAAGTCCTGGTTGAAGCAAATTATAAAAAGCAACTTATCACGAAAACGACAGGCAGATTTCTTTGGACACACAATGCGGAAAGAAGCATTAGAGAATACTGTAACAACAGGAAAGTTTAATGGAAAGAGAGGCTGAGGCAGACAGAGGGAAAAGATACTGGACAATATGACAACATGGCTGAGAGCAGCAAGAACAACAGACACCATTGCTGCATCGAAAGACAGATGGAAGTGGAGGTCTGTGATCGCCCTCGCCAGTCGGCAAGGCACCGGATGATGATGATGACAGACAGAAAGCAAGTTCATGAGCTGCAAGATCACTGTTATTTCAGAGTCTGCATAGATTGAGCCCTGTTATAGCCAGGTTCATATTACTTACACTTATAGAGACAAAAAAAAACCCCGGGGATTTGATTTATCACTGTTATATCCAAGTTCCTGTAATAACAGAAGCGGTTATAAATGGACGGACTGTACTTGTGAAAAACATTGGAGTTTCTAATTTTTAAATTATAATTAAAAACAAAAATACAATGACAGTATATAACTTTGTGATCAGACTAGTTTGATTCTTTAAAAAAAAAAAGGTTGGAGCTCCTACATTGAATATATAAGTTATTGATGTACATAATCCAATAAGATGTTTGACATAGACACACCCTCTGCAGTCTTTAAATGTAGAGGTGAATGCACACACACACTCACACATCTACACACACGCAGACACACGCACGCGCGCATACGCACAGACACATGTATGCACTCACACACACGCACGCACAGACACACGCATGCACGCACGCAGACACACACGCACACATACACACTCGTGCACACATATACACACATACGCACATAAACTCTCTCATACTCACGCTCACAAACACGTGCTCACACACATACACACACACTCACTCTCTCTCTCTCTCTCTCTCTCTCTCTTCTCTCTCTTTCTCTCTCTCTCTCTTTCTCTCTCTCTCTTCTCTCTCTCTCTCTCTCTCTCTCTCTTACTTGAATCTCGTTTGAATCACGTTAATCAACGCCACTCGACGAGGGCTAATGGTCGCTTGGGTGTTTGAGTAATCGGGCAAAAAAACGAAATGTTAAGTGTGCTGACAAAATGAGTTACTTCTCATGATTCGAGCCCTGAATAGATAGATCATGCAGATAGGTAAACATTTTTACAATAATTTATATGTATGGAATAATAAAAGGCATGTTATACTTAAAAAATATGGCATCAATAGAAAATCTACATATTTGACCCTAGTGTCGAATTTTGGCCAATATATCTATTTGTGGATCGCGAGAAGTAACTCATTTTGTCAGCCCGCCTCACAAATAGTTTTAAGAGTAGCCTAATTTTTTCCGTTTTTTGGTTGGGTCTTCTGGGGCAGGACTGTTTTTGACCTCATGGAGTTGGTAAAAAAGACCATTCATCTTAACGTTCAATTTGTACAGGATGTTTTTGTTCAGTCTGTATCAAAGACAACGAATGTTTGTGACAACGAGGTCTTTTTGCTTCAGCTAGGTCTGAATGGTCCAGAAATCGAAAATCAAAGGGGAAGAGGAGGGGGGGGTGTATTGTCTTGCGTTCTTAAAAACGTTCTAGATTATCCATTAGCACATAGACCATCCTATTTTTCAGGGACCTTTCGATTACACGGTGTGTGCTGTCCATTTCCATTTGCATCTGTTCCTTCCAAGGTATTTATGTTCTATAATTTTGTTCTATCTGGTACAAATGTCGCTAATTGCACTTGGCAAGACAGTGTTGTGGTCTGATAAGTTCTGCCATCACTGTATAATATTATTATATGACGAACGTGGCATATTTATTGTCAGTAAGCTCCTCCAGGAAGTTGCTGACACAAGAAGAGAATTCACTAGCAATCAAAGGTCCTTCTCCTTCGTGCCAAACGTGGCACTTCACATCTTTGGTTACCAAATAAACAAAAAAATATAGACAGCTAATTTGGTCCCGTTATGATATGGGGCAGCAAATGCTTTCAACGCCGTACTAACAATAAGTTCGCTTCCAAGTCCATGCACACTAGACATACTCTGGTCCCATCCACTGAGTTTTGTGAAAAGCTTCTTGTTAGATTCTTTCTCCTACCCTGCATACTTCACATTGATCATTCCGACATAGGCCTACATGATACAACAACATGTTGGTCTTTTTGAACATCTCTCAAAAGTCGTCTGGGACAATGTGTGACTCTTTCCGTTTTCTTCTCTACAAAGGTCTCTGAGGCTCTGAAAGTGTTAGTCAAGATAAATTTTGCCTGTATTCTGTCTGTAGTAATGGGGAAGCAATTTCGTCAAGTTTGTCTTAGAATTTCTTACCTGAAAATTGCTCGTCCCCTTCTGTTCTCTGGTAATTTGACAATCGTGGAGCTTCCATCTCCGTCTTTGCAACAGTCATGAATAACCACTGTGTGGGGGTAGTGGTATACAAACTCATTGTTTTGCATCGTAAGTAGAATAATGCATGAGATTTATTTCAAATTGAAATGTAGAGCTGGAAGGTTGAAGTTAAAGATTTATTAAAGAGACAATTTACGGGGCGAATGTGAGGCAGCGTGGTGGGATCAGGCTCTCGTCAAAATAATCAAAGTGAAGAAACTTGTTTTTTTCTGTTGGTTTGTGAATTTTTATCAAATTTTTGTTTTTTT